TGGGCTTTGTGGGTATTTGCATATCTTCTTCTGTATTCCATATTTTGCGTAGTCGATTGGAACCGATTCCAAAGCGTTGTTTCGTTTCTTGTGCAGAGATTTGTCCACGCATCTTGCGAATCTCTTCCACTTGGTCTTGCGATAGTTGTCTTTTTGGAGGCATTGTGTTTGTACTATATATCTACACCATTGTCTATATGGGAAAACTAGGCAGAACCTAGACAGACTAGGCAAACTAAGTACACACTAGGCAGAACCTAGACAGACTAGGCAAACTAAGTACACACTAGGCAGAACCTAGAAGTTTGCTTGTTTTTGCTAAGCATTGCTAAGCAAACTTCTAGCAATATGCGATATGTGGTACTTCCTCTTCACTTCCCAAAGGGACAAACGACCTGATCAGATCTCGGTATAGACTTCGCGCGAGAGCTTGGTTCCTGGCATGTTTCTATATCCATGCGCCCACATAGCTCTAATTGGGAATGCACTTGCGTTGGGAGCCGCAAGTGGTCTTGTCGAAGTTTTGTGCAACCACTCATTTTTACTAGGCTGGTAGCAGAATTAGCCCGTATGGAAGCTTCTAAGCAAGGTGTACTTATACGTCTTTTTCTCCCCCATTCCCTATACTACTTCCCTGATAAGCATTTCCCTCTAACCTTTGGACCACCTGCCAAATTACATTGACATTTTACAATTCAGTTAAACACGTCGTAATTTTCGATGATTGTTCTCCTGACCGACAAAATCCATCGAGCAAACATTGCAGGAGAGAATTGTCATATTTTACAAACGTTGTTATTATTACAGGCAATTGGTATTTTGATATATGCTTGCAGGTGCATTTTTATATTAAATAGATATGTGCAATGGTATATTGATGAGTAAGCAAATGCACATTGCCAATTTGAAAGAAATAGCTGCGAAATCATTGGTGACACGAGAAAAGCGCACGGCACGTGCAACAATCGGTAGAGTCTATTTCTGTATGGTGTATGGGGCGAACAAATCTAGTAAATACTTGACTGTTAAATGTTGTGAGTTTGCGGTGTCTAAGCAGGAAGACACCTTCCTTGGTGGGATTGATTGATCATTTAAAGTTAAATAGGTGTTCGGGCAACTCTATAATATACTCTCCAAAAAAGAAACGCATATAGAATTTCAACTGTATTTTTATGTTTATTTTGAAACATCTTGTAGGCTTTATGAGTCAATGAAATATAGCGAAATTGCACACTGGGAATGCAGACTTATCCGTCTTTGGCACCAACTCGAGGAAAGTCAGTTTGAGTGTCACATGGAGACGTGTGGTGGCGCTGAAGTCAATACCTCGTGTGACCACCGTGGGCATCAGAACTGCACGGCATCGCCTCGGCATCGAACGAATAAGTCTCAGAATCTCGTGTTGCCCAATCGCAGCCCACTCTGCCTGTAGTGCCTGTGCGAGTTGCTGAAGTGTCTGGGGCTGAGGGTTACGGCGTCGCACCCGTCTGTCAGGGCATCCCACAGATGTTCGATCGGGTTTAAGTCCGGTGATCTTGAGGGCCAGGGGGCACATTGATGTTGTGGTTCTGGAGGAAGTCTCTAGTGTGACGTGCTGTGTGGGGCCTGGCATTGTCCTGTTGAAACAACTCCCTCTGGCGATCAATGATTGGAAGGAGGTGTGGGCGTAGGATTTCGTCACAGTACCGTTGAGGGCTGTCAGGTTGCCCTGGATCATCACCAAATCACTTCTCCTACGGCAGGTGATCTCTCCCCACATCATAACACTCCCGGCCGAATCTGTCCACCTGGGGAACGCAAGCGTCGGCGAAACGTTCACGTCGACGTCTGTACACCCGCATTCTTCCATCGCGTCGTTTCAATAGAAATCGTGATTCATCACTGAACCAGATTCTACGCCAATTCGGTAGGTTCCAGGCCTGAACGTTGGTGCACCATTGAACTCGATGTCGACGATGTTGTTGTCGAAGCACAGGGCCAAAATAAGGTCTTCTGGCACGTAAACCATCATCTCTCAACCTGTTCCTGACGGTCTGCGCAGAAAGCCTCCTCAATCTGGTTATTTGTCGGGCGGTACTGGTCGCCGTAGCTTTTCGATGACGCAGGTGATGTACCCGGATGTAGCGATCCTGCGCCGCAGTGGTCGCTCGAGGTCGCCCACTACGAGGGGCATCTGCTACCGCATTCTGCCGGCGATATCTCTCCCAGAGCCGTGAAATGGTGCTTTGGTGAACATTCATGCGTCGGGCAACTGCACGTTGAGACTGGCCAGCTTCAAGCAAACCAATGGCGATATGACGGTTGGCTTCACTTAGACGTGGCATTTTGCGTTCGTCAACAATATTCCAAATACAGTGAATAATCGACAGACGGCGATCAACCTTTTATACCCATCATTGAGACTATCTGATCCCCAACTTTCACGTGCATTGCATGTGAATTGTGTATTCTGTGACACTACATGCCGAAATTGAAAATCATGCTGTTAAATACGGGTATTTTACGGATGGTGCGTTTTGTTGTGATGTTTCAAAACATAAACACCATAGGACTCATAAACAGAGCAAAACCTTTTGTAAAATGAATCACGTTTTAGTTCATTGCTACATTAAATTGCTATTTTCATGATGCGTTTCTTTTTTGGGAGAGTATATAAGCAAGAATTGCATTCTGTACTTCATGGCGAACGATATTCTTTGAACATAATAGTCCAGCCAATAAGGGCCAATATCGATAGTTGTGATGCCACCATTGCCTTATGTTGATTTACATATTGTTTGCAATGCAGTAAATAATGCGCCACGTTATCTAGCTGATTACACTCTGAACAGATCGCAGGTTATCTTTAGGGGTTCATAATGAATAATATGAAGATGATTTTATGGAGAAGCATGTTTAATGAATGACCCCTAAAAATGTATGTACAAAATATGACCCACCAATGTCAAAATCAAGAAGAAGTCTGGTTAAAGAACCTCTTAACACCCTTTCCGTTTACGCGTGATTTAGCAAGAAAAGACTGGATGCCATACAGATGGCGTCCTTTTAAGGATCTAGCCCATCTCTCTTGCTATTTTGTTTGAGCATTGACCTGACTGACTGTGCATAATTCATCAGTAGAAGGTAATATTGACTCCTCCAGTTCTGATCCATCAAAATCTGATGCAGATTTTGCCAATTTATCAGCTTTCTCGTTGCCAAGTATTCCATTACCGAGCGGAACAAGGCAACGAACTAAACTGTTAATCTTGACATGTCGCCTTTACGTTAATACATTCCTACATTTAGCGATCGTGCAGACAACAATGATCACATTTACAGACTCAAAACTAGCTATTTAAGAAAGCCCACGAGAAAAGATAGTGTGTTAATCCATACCAGGTATTACTGACCCGCACATCGAATCCTGCCATGAGAGGAACACCTGGTCATATGGTCAGTAGTGCTTCAATTTCTCTGCAATCCCAAGTGGAGGCGTTTGTTCACAGTCATCCAAATATATATCGTTGCTCAAAGATTTGGCTGTAGGAAAAATTGTCAACGTGAAAATCTAAAGCGTGTAACTAAATACAGAAAATAATATTGAGTCCATTTGTAATTCGCTAAACTCCACGCCAGCGCTACAGATTTACATTATTACCCCAGATTACCCAAACTGCCTGTGAAGTTTATTTGTCACATGACCTATCCCACCGGGTACCCATTTTCTGCTGGGTGAACAGGAGCAATTTTGAACAAGCTCACTTGCCCCAGGTGAGACCACGTGTATCACATGTGCTTCGTTGTGGGGCAGGACTGAAGTCCTAGAAATTCTCAGGAGTCAAGCTGTCAAACACGGTCACCCATCCAAGGACCATGATTGTCCCACCTCCGGCGCTTCCATAGTGTAATCTACAGCCCCGTCCCGCTTAGTGTCGAGTGTACTGCTCCACATTAAATACCCAATCCTTTGACTACCCCCCTTAGATATTACTGGTGCTCGACAGCTACAGCAGATAAGGACAGTCTGGGGAACATTCAAGACTGGGGTTTAGGCGTGAAGCCTTGACCAATGAACTGTGCATAATTGTGTCCATCAGGTGGCCGGACACATCGATTCATGTCCACTGCTTTTCCAGGAACCTCCCTACGGACGTACACCCATTTGAAACAATAATATGATTTTCATTGCTTTTACACAGGGCCTAACGTATTTAGCCCCTTTCTCATTTTGTCATTTGCTGACGCGTTCAGACGTTGCCTGCACATAACAGAGGCCAGAAAGCAGAGTATGAAATAAGTCAGAAAGTCAGCAAGACATCAGATGGAATTTAACCAGACCAAACCAGACACCAAGATATGTTGAATTTACTCAGATGTATGGAATATCTGAAAAATGTACCAGACCATCTGGCTGACTTGCTGGCTTTTGACCTTCCTCGGAAATCTAGCCCGTTTCAGTCGGTCGGACGAGCCTTATTTCATACACTGCTGAAAGCGGCATTTGCACCCTCTGTATACAATGTTTACTTCCCCACTTTCATTGAATGTAGTATGTTTATTGGAGTGAAAGGAAGGTTGATAACTAAAGGCAATCTTTGCCAGATTTTCAGCCATATCCTCAGGGTGGTGTTATAGCTTGGTGATGGTTTCTAACGAACGGTGTGTTTTGTACTGCCGTTTTGTTATCATGTATTTCCGCCATATTGCAACAGCATGAGAATGAATTACGTGTATAAATATGAAAAGGCATCTACTCCGTCTGGATTATCGCATTATGAAAGGTTCAGCTGTGTGATATTTCTACTTCCTGGTAGACAGTATTCGGAAAGGTTATTTACAACACTTTGAGGGCTCTCAGTTTGTGTCGTTTGTCACAAATGTTGCGAAGGGACATCATGTGTCCTTTACGTTGCTATGAGTGATGTTCACATCGTCTTTAAATTAGTCTTGGAAGATATTTATAGTTTACTAAACAATGATTGATTGATTGATTGAACCTATTTCTGTTTCCATTTCAGATGATTGTATAGCGTACCTGCTGGAACCGAACAAGAAACATTATGTCGAGAGGTTTGGCTGAGCTAGAGATTGAACTCTTGGAGCTGGCAACTGTCACTCCGTCCAACGTCAGTCAGAATGCTGTCTGCATTGATTGCAAAAATAACGAATTATCACCTTTGTACGAATTTGAAAGACTGGCCAGCATCATCGTACCAGTTATATTTGGGGTAGTATTCATCCTGGGACTAATTGGGAACCTCCTGGTCATCCTCGTGGTCCTGTTCGACAAGAAAATGAGGAATACAACCAATATCCTCATCCTCAGTTTGGCTTTTGCAGATCTCCTCTTCATCATCTTCTATGTGCCATTCACAGCAGCTGAATATGCCTTGCCTGTCTGGCCATTTGGAAATGCGTGGTGCAAGCTGACACGGTTCATGGCTTACGTTAGTGCCCTCGCCAGCGTCTACACTCTTGTCCTCCTGTCTCTTGATAGGTACCTATCAGTAGTCCATGTCATCAGGTCAATGCGATACAGGACCGAGAGGAACACGTGGCTGGCCGTTGTAGTAACCTGGGGAGGGATTCTCTTAGGCAACATTCCAATCCTCTTCCAGTATGGTGAATTTACCTACACACACAGGTTTGAAAACAGATCCGCATGCCTCAACGTGGCAAATATACATGATCCCAGAGTTGGCAAGGTGTTCTTCTCCTGCTTCCTTGCCTTCGGATACGTGATTCCTCTCTGCGCAATCTGTCTCATGTATGGCCTTATGGTCAATCGACTTCTGTGTGGGGTTGTTCCTGGAGACGACCAATGTGCGGAGAGTTTTCGGGCTAAAAAGCGAGTTACTAGAATGGTTATTATCGTTATTGCCTCTTTCGCACTTTGTTGGCTACCAATTCAGATTATTCTTATAATACGTGCATTTGGCCATTACCCACACGACATGGGGTTCGTTGGACTAGAAATGGCTGCTAACTGTCTGGCTTATATGAACAGCTGTGTAAACCCATTTCTTTACGCATTTTTGTCTGAAAACTTTAAAAGAAGTTTTCGAAAGTTTATCTGTTGTTTCCAGGTAACGCGGATAATGGATTACGGAATGGATTTACATCCACGAGAAAAGGATCCCGAAAGCACTTGTATCACAAGTACAACTTTGAATAACGTGTGACAACACATAGCTGGATTTTGCTTCTTTGTGCAACTCAGACATACGTATGACTCTATATGTAGGTCTGTGTACCTGTTAAGTAACATGCCACAGTCCGAAAATAAATATTACCTTGTGTCTATTACAGAGAGAAACATATACTGCGGTTGCACAATCCTTTTTACGAGGCAGTGTGAATAGATCTTCCTCATACACTTAATTAAAGACACTTAAAACTTAATTGGGATATTATTGAGTTCACACTGTTCTAAACTTTAAAATATCATGTATTATACATCAAAACATGTTCTTGAATTGTTGTCGCCTGTACGTGGTTGGACAAATGCGAAACCTACATCAACACCTGTTTTAATTGTCATCCTGACCCGTGAATATCCGGGTTAGAATTGGTCTTCAGTAACCCATGCTTGTCGTAAGACGCGACTAACGGGATCGGGTGGTCAGGATCGCTGACTTGGTTGACACATGTCACCGTATCCCAATTGCGTAGATCGATACTTATTCCGTTGATCACTGGAATGTCTGGTCCAGACATTATTTACAGACCGCCGCAATGTAGCTGGAATAGTGCTGAGTGCGGCCTGAACCTAAACTCACTCACTCACTAATTGTCATCATTCACTTACTGTTCAGTTGATGATTTTATAGCAGGCATAATTAGTGTTAACATAAATCACAGTGCCTAAAACCACTTATCATTTACCTCTATCTGGGGTAATTGTGCAACCTAATGTCCATTTCCTATGTGGCAAATGCAGCGCAGCAAGAGAAGAATAGAATAACATGTCAAGGGATTAACCGATAGTACGTTCATAGATTAATCACTGTTTTCTTGCCCAATGACCTTTTTTAAAAGTTGTGTTTATGTATGTGTACTAATGCAGACTATCCAGTGTATAGAATATAGCCCGCCCCACCGTCCTTGACGGTCTATTTTTCTTAAGGACAGTCTATTAAATGATTAATACCGTCCTTTGGTCGGGAGAAATATTTGAAAAAATAAACTTAACTTGAGATTGGCTGTCATTGAATTTCATTATTGTTTGAAGTTCTTTGATGTGAGAGAGACAACATTGTCGTTGTATTCACAAAACTTTCATTGCATGCGTATATATGTTAAGTTTGATTCACTTAGGCATTTCATAGAATGTCTATATAGTCGTTTTACACATTCACTAAAAACAGATCGACTAAATATTTTTATGAAGTACATAAAAACTAGCAAGTCGACCTGGCGCAACATTTTACCCTCGCCATTAGCGCAACAATGGCAGTTTGGGAATAAATTTGGGGATCATGTCAAAACAAAGTTTGTGGAAAAGATATTTACGACTGGCAGGATGATGCGTTTATTTACAATTAATTTTGAACAATTTTCATACATTGCATACACGTTTATTTTAAGTACTTTTCATGCATTTCATTTCATTCAAAGTGCAAACAGACAGCAACTTAGTCCACAAACTGTCGTTTACTGTTGTCAGTCTTGCAGGACAGGTCTTCAACATACATTCCCAGGATTGACAGGAATGTCCCTTCTTATTATTCTTAAACACTATTCTTGACGCACTAATATTCTTCCTCCATGGTGGGAAGCAATGAACTTCAGTGGCGGACCCTTGAAAATGACTTAAGACCACATTGAAAAAAATAAATTTGCGTTGGCGGAGCCATGGGGGGTTCAGGGGGTTTTAACCAAAATTCCTGGATCCGCCCATGAACTTCAGATCTATCTGTGCATGAACCATGATTGTGAATGCATGGTTTAATAAATGTATCATTCCTTTATTTATACTCTTTGCTTGATAACGATGTTTGTAGCTACACCGAAACGTCGCTCATAATAATAATGAATGTATTCCATAGATCTCTCCTCGTTGTTCGTCTCACCAACTTCTAAATGCCACTCAAAGAAAATATTATTTGAAATCTGTATATTTGCTACCTTATTCATGTATTGAAAATGTTTTTGTAGCTTTAATCTTCTCGAATTACCGGGATTATCTTGTGCTTGTAGATTTCCCGTGTATCCATCGTTATATTTGCTTCCTCATTAAATGTACATGTACATATCTGAATGTAAATGCTTAGTATGAGAGTTAATCGCTTATGTTCAGCGCTGTGTTTGGTTGGTACAACTTCCGCACTGGTTCATTAGTTATCTTGCCAGTCGTTTTTCTAGAATAATAAACATACCTTGGTTTCTTCACTTGGCTTTGGCGTTTTCCCGGCTGACCAGGACGAGTTGTGGTCTCCAACGTCCGCGCTCCCGGGTTATTACCACTGGCAACAATCAAACAAAACAAGCTAAGATACGAAAACGGCAATGTTCTACCCAAACCTAATAAAAAAACTACAATCAAAATATACTACTTCTAGCATTAAACACGGGCCCCACCCCTCGCCTCTCTGTACACAACCCGTGAAGATCCGGGTTTGAATTGGTTTCAGTAACCCATGCACATATGTATTGACACAAATAATCTCACTTTACTCCATCAGGAAACATATACCCGTGAAGATCCGGGTTACAATTGGCCTTCACTTGCTCATACTTGTAAGAGTCGACAAACGGGATCGGGTGGTCAGGCTCGATGACGTGCTTGACACATGTCATCGTATCTCTAATTCGTAGATCGACGCTCATGCTGTTCATCACTGGATTGTCTGGTCCAGACTCGATTATTTACAGACCGCCGCCATATAGCTGGAATGTTGCTGAGTGCGGCGTAAAACAACAAAAAAGCCAACAACCCAACTGTGCTGGTCGGATTTCCTTCTGGACTCCTGGCAGGACCGCCAGGGTTGCTCTTTAGTGTTGTTCAAAGATCTTTCTGATCATTTGTGATCGTGTGATTAAACCTAAATTATGCAGTTGACTAAACAACTGATCCCGCTGCATGCCACGGGTAGTTCTGACGTCACAGTCAACAGTAATGGTGAAATCCTTACCATGGAACACCATTCTTGTCATACTAATCAATGCCATTACTGTTGCAGGTGCGGTGAGGTAGCCTAGTGGTTAAAGCGTTCGCTGTTCACGACCAAACCAGGGTTCGATTCCTCACATGTATAAGTGTGAAGCCCATTCTGGTGTTGCCCGCCATGATGTTGCTGGAATGTTGCTAAAACCATATTCACTCACTCACAGTTGCAACTGGTGATGATATGTTCCAGTTCAATATATAAGATGGTGCTTGTTACAGGTGTATATTATATTTTTCACATTTAAGTGTACTGGTCGTTAATACCTGTGGTGGGCCTATCCCGTCAAGAGTATTCCTTCCCAGCATGTCACAAGAACCATTCCGTCATTTGGGGATATTCTTACGGAGGATATATTTCACAGATTTTGTGTGTGTCATGAAGTGTGGAAATCGGAGCTATTCATTATAATATACTACCCATCACAAGTTTAGACTCACTTAAAGCACTCACTATATGTTATGTAAATATATCTGGTTACATCGAAGATGAATTTCTCCATTAACCTTGGGGAACCAGCTGCAAACTTTATGCAGATGAATTACACGAGGATCATGCATCAAATTGCTGAAAAGCATGTGCAAATATCGTGCAGGTGAACAGCTGCGTTTTGGTGTAAAGTTTTGTTAAGAATTCTCAAATTTTCACTGAGTTTCATCATTTATTGAACTACTCATGACAATAATCTTTTCAACGTTACGAATCTGTTTTACAATACATCAGTTCATGTGTAAACAATACCTTTAAACAGTGTGAAATATTTTGCAAAATCTAATTTAGAACAGTTGACAGAAGTAGGTGGCTACATTTACACTAGTGAGTCTAAACTTTTGATGGGTAGTATATTATAATGAATAGCTCCGATTTCCACACTTCATGACACACACAAATCTGTATCATTTCTATTTATTCATGAACAGTTAATGACCCCGAAATAACCTAAATATAGACGTATTCAGTGCCATTAAAATGTTTTTCAATCTGAAAACATTTACCTTGCACACATGAATACACAGTTTATTTCTATAAAGTAATCGATCTGCGTTTCTATACTGTTGTGCCAACAATAGCGCATAACGTGATAATATTATACCATTACATTTTCAAATAGACGGATACAAATATACTACTGAACTTGGGTGTTGGATCGCAGTTATGGTGTGGGTTCATGAATTGTTATGAAACTCTGCTCTGCATTGAGATTGTGTGGTTTCAGCTTTGTATCCAATGATGTAGGGGCGGTGGGGTATTGCTAAAAGCGGCGTAAATCCCAACTCACTCACTCCTATGATGCATCAAATGATGTTTCCGTCAACCTACCACAGCTTGGACGATTTTTTTTTAAAAGGGAGAGGACATATCGATGGCAAGCATGAACTGTTTTAAAGACAGTAGTACAAACTAGGACATGTTTTTGTAAATATAAATATGTGTTTCTTGTTTATGCATGAACACGTCCGTATTCCGGATGGAAAGCAGTACACACCTAGATAGTCGTAAGTTAATGTTAATGTATGGCACTTACGACTATCTTAGCGCTAAGTGAGCTTCGAAAATCTAGGCCCTGGAGCTTTTGCAACACGGACACAATGTTTTTGTCTTGTTAGTCAAAATCAAAACATTTTTCCAAATGGTTATATTGTTTGCGTTTGTTTTAGGGCATTCGGGGTATTATCTTTTTCTTTTCTGAAAAAAAACCCCGGCGTGCTCTTTCTTTTGTACGTTAATTTAAGTTCCAGGCAACCTCCGCTTGTCATGTGAGTGGTTAGGTTCTTTGACTTGGTTGGCTACATGACATTTGCCATCCTGTCTCAGGTGCGTGAATCAATGTTCATAATGTCAATCACTGGATTGCCTGGTCTGTACTTGATTATTTACAGACCGACATCATATGGCTATGACATTGCAGAGTGTGGGCATAGACAATACGTCTAACACGAAGGCCTGACAAGTGTATCCATGTGTTGAACACACAAGCACAAGTACGGAGTTGAAAAGTCTAGGGTCATAAAAAGAGCGAGTCTGGTCTCCAAATCCGGACCTCGGAGTGAGTGATTGAGTGAGTTAAAATTTAACGTCACATCGGCAATATTTCAGCCATATAGTGACGAGAAAAGGTTTACATACATATTAATTACAAGTAGTTAAATAACCAGTCATCGAAGAACTGTAAAATATCTAGAGTATCACAGATGGTGTCTAAAACTAGCTGGTAAGTGTAAAAATAATTTATTCATGATGACAATACAATATAAAAATGGGCTATAGATCGCCAGCAACCGAAGGTAGATCACCATACTAGGGACCATGGGGACTTACAGTACCTTTGCTACCTGCATGGACCCTAGCTGGATTTACACCATCCCCTCAGTCATCACTGGCGATTGTAGGAAAATTTAGCCGAAATTTAAAATAGCAAAAATGCTACGTTTAAAAAACATTGGTATGTTTATATTTACCTTAATTAAAAGATTTGGGTCTTACGTACCCTCTCAGGGGGACAATAATTTTACGATACTTTAACCCCCCTTGAGGATACAGCCATTAACAATGCCGGACCTCGGATCCAAAGGGAGGCAACTCTGTACTAACGCATTACGACTACCGGGTCACCCGTGCCCTAGATGACTGTTGCCTTTTGAGGGTGGTGGGGTAGCCTAGTGGGTGAGACGTTCGCTCGTCACGCTGATGACTTGGGTTCGGCTTCCCACATGGGTACAATGTGTGATATTCCTGGAATATGGCTAAAACGTAAAACCAAACTCACTCACTCATTATATCCTTTTGAAGTCTAAAACAATGTTTTGAAGTTATCTTGATACACAACTGATAATGAGAATACAAAGAAGTGATCTCTCCACACCCATAAGCCAGTAAAACCCGTACATAGAAATAACAGAAAGCAGAGTGACCTTTTACATTGAACTCGTATGCATCTCTTCACTTCCCTATCTATGACACGAGCCATACACCTTTTCCTCTTAACCCGCCAAGCGTAAATGTAAACCAAGAGTTTATTAAATCGATATACTGTGACAAATACACACGCCCTGTATTGCACTATAACAACTTTATCGCCAAATCTGTCAATAGGAGAATGAAGGAAGTGAAAACTTGTTGACTTTAAGCACTACACACTGACAAAGGGTCGCATTATGAGTCAGGCAGGACGATGATTTGGCTGCGGAATATAGGCGTATTTTCCTCACCCTCTGTGAACCTCAGTAACGACAAATGTGACTGACTGCTACATACGCATGGCGTGATGTTGTTTCTGTGTTTCCTTAATGTGATCGTCTTAGTGCCCGGTAAGCTCAAAATATTCTACCGAATCATGTTAAACATTCCTACAATGTTTCTAAAATTCAGTGTTTGTACCTACACGTAAAACGTAATGTGTGAATACATGAGGTTCGTTGATATGGCGTGTTGATGAGCCGATTCTCAAGGGATTTATTTCGTGTTTTGCGAGATATTATGAAATATGTGAATATTATTAATATATATCACATTGGCGTCGGCCTTCTTGCGATATTTCTTTGTGAGAGTGTACGTATGACCAGCACATTTTCTTAATCGACATTATCATTATGAACATGAAAGTCACATTGAGTGAGTTGACGGATGCATACATGAGTCAGTGAGTAAAAAGTTCATGGGTGAGTGAGTGAGTGGAGAGGTGATAGAATGGAGTGAGTGAGTGAGTTTAGTTTTACGCCGCTTTTAGCAATATTCCAGCAATATTACGGCGGGGAGATAGAATGGAGAGGTGAGTGAGTGGGTGAGTAGCTGCGAAGGTGGGTGGGTGAGTGAGTGAGTAGTGTTACGCCGCTTATAGCACTATTCCAGCTATATCACAATCCTAATGTTAAGCATGTTGATCGAAGGGCGTAATTGCCTATAGAACGCCAATGATTTCAAACATGTAAACATATTTAAATACTGGGAATATACTCATGCATGATATATATGTCAGCACAGTTTCAGTCACCCGACAATTAATCATCAAGGTCAAGGACAGACATTTAAATTTGGTTATCAAGGGAAACACCACTTGTGATTCTCTAGTTTGGCTTCTGAGAGACTGCCATGATATGGCTCACTCACTCACTCAGTTTATATAGAATTATTTGTTTTATATATGTCAGCGACTAAGCATTAGTCTATATATATGTTTGCCTTGGATTTTGATGTCAACGATCAGCTACAATAAATCCTTTAACCGTAATAACATTAACCGTAAATTATTCTAGCAAGTTATCTATTCTGTAGGCCATCCAGTTTTGAATATGCAAACTAGTGGTTGATACTATGAGCAATGCACACGGCATCCGGGTTCGATGACATGCAAAGTACCCGACTCTACTCACCCAAACCATTCAGGCGCTTCCTAAAACTGACAAGTCGGTTGGGCACCCTTCGCCCGGCACGCAGAAGACCCGAATTTTGATTCCCCGCATGAGTTTAATGTGTAAAACCTATTTCTGGTATCCCCCGTCTTGATATTGCTGGAATATCGATAAAAACGACGTAAAATCATATTCAATCACTCACTAATACAAGCAGATATGTTAGGCATTGGGAACCAATGCTACCCAGGACGCTAAATGCTGATGATCAAAACAAACTACAGTGAAGTATTCAGATCATCCGCACAAAACGTATTCAGTCTTCATGATCATAGCTTGTACATATGGACGTCACGGAAGTGTATCCTCGTGGTTAAGACGTTCCCTGGTCACGCTGAAGACCCGGGTTCGATTTCCCACATGGGTACAATGTGTGAAGCCCATTTCTGGTGTCCCCTCAGTGATAATGGTGGAATGTTGCTAAAGGTCCCATAGACTAACCTTATTTTATTTTTTTAATTATCTAGGCTAGCAACAGCCATTCCATGTACACATGGGTACAGTCTGGCCTTTAAACTACAATAAAACACAATTTCTGGCCAACTTGTCCGGCTAAATTTCCAAGCACAGGAAGCGGAACAACCAAATGTCACCTACTGGAAAATATCTGTACACACAATAAGCATAACTCATGGTGATACAAATGACAGCACTAAATACTTGTGAAAACATTGTGGTCAATTTTAAATACTGGATGGATGTGCTTTTAAAAAACATAAAAATCTTACACTATTTCATCCAATCACAGATGCCACATGTCTCTATCTCTTCAGATGTTTATATAAGGTTCCCGCTCAGGGAACATGTGATTCTGATTTAGTGTAGTGGAACCTGTAACCGACGTAAAACTATACTCACTCGCTGTGAAAGGACATGCATGGTGTTGACATGCACACGTGTTTATTAAGTACTGTTAGATACTTTTTCCAGATATTTTGAAATCCGTAACTTGCGTTTCCTGCAGCCATTATTGACGCAAGACGACCGCATTTTTCAGTGGCCTTCACAGAACCCTGCAGCAATGACACAGCAGTTAACGGGTCAACTGCAGCAGACTGCACAAACTACACCTCAACGACTGACCTCACCACTTCAGCTTTTGACACCAACACTTCAACACCTGACACCGTGACGTCACCATCCGACACCTCCACAACTGATATCTCCCTCTCAACGCAAATCACCTCGTCAGCGCAAAACATCATAGCCTCCAACTCGACTCCTTTGTGGTACGCTGTCAGTTATATCAACACATTGGAATCTGTCCAATCCGGACTCTTTGTATACCGTTTTCTCCATAATCCGGAGTATCCTCTGAGTCCCGGCCAAATAGTTCCTAATTTATCATTAAAGCTTGCTTTATAATCCGGACCCTCTCAATTACGGATTACGGTAAAAAATATCAGTCCCGACAATCAACTTGCTATGAGAACAATGCTTTGGAATCCGGACGTAGCTGACGAAAATACCAGCCTGACAAAACATTGTCCGACAAATCCCAAGCTGCAAAGGGTGGAAAAGTTTCCAAAGAGAGACTTACGGTGCTTATGTGTGGTAACGGACAAAAGTTGACTGATCCGGACTGCTTTATAATCCGGACTAATGAGTCGGTCCCAGGGTAGTCCGTAATAGACAGATTCCACTGTATATATAAAGGATATGAAAGGGAGTGAGATGTACCATTTATTGACATGATTTGCCATCATCATAATCGTCGTTACCATCATCATCATCATTAAGATTCATAGAGAAACATCTTAATCAACATGTACACTGCATTCGAGAATCAATATAACTTGCTTAGTGATTGTATACCTACTATTCATCATTATTCGACCACAGTCATGGCTGCCAATTGAGATGTCTTTGCCACGGAAATGAAGTCATCCATTTGTATGACGTCAGTGTATGGCATAGCCAAGTGTTGTCACTCAGGAGATAAGCATTCATGTGTTGGCGAATTTCCGGGTGTTATTTAATATTTGAAACACGGGAATTCATTTGGAACCGACGGCATTAGCCGGAGGCTTCAAATGAAATATTCACATGCTAACATACGATGGCCAGCACACGATGTTTATCGACATTGTTAACACAAAAGTAAACCAAAAGGTCCGCACACGTTTTTGTGTCTGCACTCATTGACATCGAGCACGGGTACAGCACTGAACTGTCATCAGCTGGCCGTTGTGACATCATTCGGACTTTACGTCATTTGAATGACGTCACCGCTGCTGACGACGTAACAATACAATGGTGTGTGCGATGTTTGTACGTTTTAATACGCAGCGAATAGTCTTGCAATTTACGGGAATCGAATACCATTTGAACATGTTTTTCAACCAATCGGATTAAAGAACACAGTGACTTGTGGTTTACAATAATGAATGCTCATACAGCATAGTTCGCTAATAACGAACGTACTCACGACGAAATGACATTTATAACGAGCTGTTTATTGGTTCCAGACATTTACTGAATATTTTATTATCTAACGAGCTATAGTTATAACGAGCAAAACATTGTTGTTCTATTGAATTCGTTCACAAAGGTTTCTGTATTGCCAAATCCATTTGTCCATATCAAGGGAATTGTCATCTACATGCCAGTATGCTCTTTACACCCTTTCAATATGTTTCCAGGCCGGCGTTTGTCATATATGGCGGTATCATCGGCGGACTGTCCCTGGTCGTGTTTGTTGTTGTCTGTGTCTTCTGCATGTGTCGGTACTGCAGACACAAGAGCGACGACGAGGCCGTTGTTACAACGTCGGTGCCCCTCACCTCGGTTGTATCCACAAAAACAAGTAATACTTTAAAGTACTTTGGTCAAAAGCTTCTTTTTATATCACGGTGTGTCAACTTGATGTTGGAAGAGAGCCTGAAATAAGACAAATATGTCAGTGAGTTTATTTTTACGCCCCTTTTAGCAACATTCCAGCAATATCACGGCAGGGGACACCAGAAATGGGCTTCAAACATGTAGAGAATCGAACCCGTGTCTTTGGCGAACGCTTTAACCAGTAGGCTACCCCACCGCCCCTAAAAAAATCTTAGACCAAAACCCATTTGGTGAAAACCACAAGGGTTAGTTAGCTCGATGTACCGTTTGTTCATGACTTAAACATAATAATGAGTGAGTATGCTTTTACGCCGCTTTCAGCAATATTCCAGCCAGAAGCTTCACCCACGCTGGGAATCGAACCCGGGTTATTAAGAACGAACACTTTAACCACTAGGCTACCCCGCTGCGCTCTTAGGCATTACAGGAAAATAGAGACTGCAACACTGTTTTATCATTGCAGATGGATATGATTCTAATCCTACCAAGGCTGTAACGCATCCCACAAATTCATCAGCATCCTGGAATGTACCACCACCGCCTCCACCACCACCGCCACCGCCACCGCCACCGACGCCCCCACCATACAGCAAATAATGAGTACTGCATTTTTGTCATTTTTTCGACACATGCAGTAGTATTTGCCCAGGTTCGGGGACACAAATATTTGACATGAGACGATTAATAATCGCTCTTAAGCAACACCGTGTATACCTAATCGACTTTAGGTATTACCATTTTTAGAGTTGACGTTTTATTCTTGCATATAAAAAGGTATCTTACAATGATGATAAAAATGTCGTCATGTGTTTTATGTAATGAGTAGTTACACCCTGCCAAGTGTAAACAACAAAAATGGCTGAGTATTAATAATCCTTTTTGCATTGATCCAGCCTTCTGGTTGGTAGTACATCATAATTATAATGGACGTAATCTAATGACCTATATACATAATGAAATGAGTACTTTTTAGAGTAAATATTTCACAATCATGTCCACCCAATTGTCTAAAAATAATTTCATTATTTTTTAAACACAATACAGTCACAAGTAATGTGTCTTAAATACACAAGGGTGCAACGTCAGTCAGTTGTTTTCATGAACCCCAAAAAAGCTAGCTATCGTTTTATGTCCTTGTCGAATGTCAATAATACGACCCAAGGTATGGAAATGTTTTTAAATGTCGAATAATTTCACCTGTCGTTGTTTTTAGGCGTGTACTTCCTTGATATCCCGTTGCTTGATAAAGCACTATATTTACACTTTCCGATTTTCCTTATCTAGAGTTGTCAATCATGCGTTCACGAGATTATACTTCCTCCATTAAAACCTTAATGCAGTTTTGAGTTCATTTTGTAAAATCAGCGAGCCAGTTTGCACAGCAGGAGAAGCATGTTATCTCGCGGTCCTTGAAACCGTTGAACACACGCAGGGCGCTATAATGTCATCTGAACTTCAAACCAAGCTGTGCTAGGTTTGAAATGCAGTTAGCAAGGTATGTGTATTAACTGCACAATGTGTGTGACTCAAAGCTACCACTCAGTGAAACGATATCTATTGTAACAATAGTAATATATAGATCCTGGTATGGGTAAGGTCATTCTATGGAAATACAGCTTTTACACCGAGAGTGACGCTTAGTTACGAAAAGTGGTCACCAGTGATAAGGGTGTCAGCATATGCACTGAAACACATGCATGGTAACACAAAGTTTTATTTTCCATTCTAGAGTTCGATGATCCCGAAAATGATTTAAGAGATTATTTTGTTCACCACGAACAGTGCAGCAGACTCAGTGAAAATCCAGTTCAGATTTATTTTATAAACGACTTAACATCTGGAGGCAATGACATGTTTTATGTGAAATAATATAGGGAAGTCAAAGGATCATATCTAGAGCCAATCAAGTGGTATATGGAAGTCAAAGGATCATGTTTTGAGTCAATCAAATGATATATGGAAGTCAAAAAATCATATCTAGAGCCAATCAAATGGTATATCGACGTCAAAGGATCATATCTAGAGCCAATCAAGTGGTATAAGAGTCAAAGGATCATATCTAGAGCCAATCAAATGGTATAGGGAAGACAAAGGATCATATCTCGAGTCAATCAAATGGTATATGGAAGTCAAAGGATCATGTTTTGAGTCAATCAAATGATATATGGAAGTCAAAAGATCATATCTAGAGCCAATCAAATGGTATATCGACGTCAAAGGATCATATCTAGAGCCAATCAAGTGGTATAAGAGTCAAAGGATCATATCTAGAGCCAATCAAATGGTATAGGGAAGACAAAGGATCATATCTGGAGTCAATCAAATGGTATATGGAAGTCAAAAGATCATATCTAGAGCCAATCAAGTGGCATATGGAAGTCAAAGGATCATATCTAGAGCCAACCAAATGGTATATGAAGTCAAAGGATCATATCTAGAGCCAATCAAGTGGCATATGGAAGTCAAAGGATCATATCTAGAGCCAATCAAGTGGCATATGGAAGTATAAGGATCATATCTAGAGCCGATCAGAGGGTATAGGGAAGACAAAGGATCATATCTGGAGTCAATCAAAGGGTATATGGAAGTCAAAGGATTATATATATCTAGAGCCAATCATATGGTATATGGAAGTCAAAGGATCATATCTAGAGCCAACCAAATGGTATATGAAGTCAAAGGATCATATCTAAAGCCAATCATATGGTATATGGAAGTCAAAGGATCATATCTTGAGCCAATCAAATGGTATATGGAAGTCAAATGGTATATGAAGTCAAAAGATCATATCTAGAATTAATCAAATGGTGTATGGAAGCCACAGGATCATATCCGGAGTCAATCAATTGGTATATGAAGTCAAAAGATCATATCTAGAGCCAATCAAATGGTATATGGAAGTCAATGGATCATATCTAGAGCCAATCAAATGGAAGTCATGACTTAATATCTTTCAAAACGCGAGATGTCTGAAAGTCATGTTAAAATTTCTGGAAGTCCTGAGATATCATATGGAGCCAATGAGATGGTATTATCGAAGGCATGAGATAATATCATAAAGGTGTGTGATATCATTTGGAAGCTAATGGGGTAGTATCTTTTGGTCAAGAGGTCGTTTCAGAAATCCAATTCATCATTCAACCGATGATACATACTTCATACAACCACTCGTTGCGTCCCTTAGGAGACTATTGCAATACAATGCTGATGACTGCTGTTAGATCAACCTAATAGGTCAAAATTATTGTTTTCCAGGAACTAAAATGCAAGTTTACTCTGTGCCCACATGTTCCTCGGTGCATTTGGGGTGGTGGGGTAGCCTAGTGGTTAAAGCGTTGGCTCGTCACGCCGAAGACCCAGGTTCGATTCCCCACATGGGTACAATGTGTGAAGCCCATTTCTGGTGTCCCCCGCCATGATATTGCTTGAATATTGCTAAAAGCGGCGTAAAACTCACTCACTCACTCCTTGATGCATTTACACTTTAAAACTTTATCGATTTGTTATTCTCCTTCACAGAAGGTTCCTGTTTGATTCAGTTCCCGATCCTTTGACACAGCTCGACTGAGTGAACAATATATCCTGGCAAACCTACTTCCTATTGATCAGCCCACTGCTTGACTCGTATTAGATGAGCCTGCGCAGTACACGCGTTTGTGACAAGTAGGCGGGGCAGGGAATCTAGACGAATACACTTGGTTGCTACAGGTAGATCGGCGAGGAAGCACGTGCAGTACATGCTGACCGTGGCGTGAACTCAATACTGCTTCTGTTTAACACGTGTCTCGTAGACCGATTTAGTTCAGCAAGACACCATCTCGACACGAGTCAATTGCAGAATGTTTGCAGATTTTGATTAATTTAACATGTCCGGGCAAATTGTTCATTCTCAGGCAAGGGAGTCAGCCTACAATGTTATTATTTATATGGAAAAGACGTGTGCAACCAAAGTAGACGCTATTTCAAAACGTAGCCTTGCTACTGGTCTTTCCAAGGCAGCTTTAAAACGTATTAAAGCGGAAGGTGCACGTGATATGGGTGCAAGAAGGCCTACTTCTATTAGTCCAACCACGTTGCGTAAACCCAAAACTTCCGAGCACAAACTTGATGATTTTGACCGGTGTGCAGTCCGTCAATTTGTACAAAGATAATATGGAGTACGAAAATAACTGCCTACTCTAGATATGATATATGATATGGCAAGAAGCCAATTGCATTACCAGGGTTCAAAGGAAAGTTTTCGAAAAAATCTAAAAGACATGGGGTTTAGGTGGCGAAAAATGCAGTCAAATCGTTAGGTTTTAATGGAACGAAAACACATCGTTGCAAAGCGCATGCATTACTTACGTGCAATGAAAAAATGTTGAGATGAAAATCGATGAAACATGGTTGCATGTACACCACATTTGTCCCAAAATGTTGGCAGCTTGATGGTGAGAGACCGCCTCCGTGATGTAGTGGTTGGAGCGTCCGCCAGGAGAGCGGAAGGTCGCGGGTTCGATCCCCGACCGCGTCATACCAAAAGACGTTAAAATATGGTACTTGTTGGTCCCTACCTGGCGCTCGGCATTAATCATTCTCTCTCCACAGAGGTTACTCCTGTCATATCTTCTTACGTAACCTCTGTTTTAATACGGCCCTTTCATGGTGTGAGCGTTCAAGACTCGTGATTGGAGGCAATCAGATTTAGTTGTGCAATCAGCGACGTTGTTTCAAAAGTGATCATTCGCAAGGCCTCGGTAATTTCCGTATGCTTCGAGAAAACTAAACTTCTTCCCCTGCGCGATGCGCAAGCGTTTCTTCTAGACAGAACTCAGTCATGTTATGGCGGATCAGTGGCGTCTCCATCGCCAAGCTAGCCATTAAACGTCTTGTGCGTAACATCAACACAAGTCCCCGGCAGATGGGGGATATTTGTGGCCCCACATTTGCTTGTGTTAGTCAAGTTGAATCTAAGTCGATGTAACACGTGTTCTGATTGGATAGAAAGAAGGCTGATCATTCGTGTTGCGATCTTTTGCCGCTAGGGGATTTTACGAGAACCGGGAAATATGGCCGTATTAGAACAGAGGTTCGTAGGAAGATATGGCAAGTAACCTCTGTGGGAAGAGAATGGGCATTAATGGGTACAACAAGGACTGGTCGGCTCGGAGTCAGTATAATGTGTCTGAGTGGGGTATTCATGCTTCACTGCGGCATGGTATCTCAGTGGGCTAGCACTATAAAACCAGCTTAAGTCTGGGCTAGTACAAGCAGCCGCACATACACATACACATACACATACACACGCATGCACGTCGTCATATGAGCGAAATATTTTCAAGCACGACGTTAAACGCAATTTCACCTCACCTCACCTCACCTCACCTTGATGGTGAGGTTGTGATAAATGAGGTTCAGCCTCCGTCCGGTACCGGACCTCGACTTATTGTTGTTCATGCAGGGTCCGAAAACGGTTTTGTACCAAATGCTTTACTTGTATTTGACCCAAAGCTCAAATCAGGAGATTATCATGACGAGATGAATTTTGATAATGTTTCCAAATGGCTGCAGGAAAAATTGATCTCACACATTCCACCCCACTCCGTCATTATTATGGATAATGCGCCATACCGACCACAGCAAGCAAGTGGACAAATGTCCAACAACGGCTAACAGAAAAGATGATATCAAAGCTTGGTTACAAAGGCACAATATTGCATTTGACGATAAAATGCTCAAAGCCGAACTGTTGTGTCTGGCAAAATCCAACAAATCGGACCCTGTCTATAGAGTAGACACTATGTTGAAACAACATGGCCATGATGTACTACGTCTTCCTCCTTCCCACGCAGAATTGAACCCAATTGAGTTGATTTGGGCCAATGTCAAAAATTATGTTGCTAAACAAAACTTGCAGTTCACAAAATCTTAGCTAAGAGTTGCCATAAACGAGGGAATGTCTGCAATCGGTGCCAAGGAATGGTCCGAATGTTGTAAACATGTGTAAACAATTGAAGACGGCTACTGGCAACGGGAGTGAGTGAGTGAGTTAAAATTTATCGTCGCATCGGCAATATTTCAGCCATATCGTGACGAGAACAATTAATTTTATACACAGAAATTAATGGTATTTTGTAAAACCTGCCAACGAAGGACAGTAAAATAACTAGATTATCACAGATTCAAATTTAAAACTAGTAATTAAATCTAAAACAGTTTAACTATAGATGACAATACACGGTAAAACGGGCTATATACTGCCAACAACTGAAGGTATATCACCATACTAGGGACCATGGACTGGCAACGGGAAATCGCAGTAGAAAAAGAAATTGACAGAATCGTGATCGAAGTAGGACTATCAAGTGATTCAGACACTGAGACCAATTCAGAACGTGACGACTAAGGCCTAAATCAGTAAATTCCATAATGGATCTATTCGGTATTTGACCCCTGTGTGGAGAGGATGCACCAGAATATATGCCAATTATACATCCGTTTGTAAACATAACAAATGTTCTTTTCTCTAGCACTTGTGTGGGGTGTTTTGTAAATAAAGTTATATTGTCTTGGTTCAGTTTCTAAGGATCTTAGCTGTACACATACTTAGTATGATATAACAATCAAAACACGATTCGCACGAGGAAATTGAACTTTTCAAGTTTTAGACGACAACCTGTTTCCCTCATTTTTAAAATGGAATATTCTGGAGGGCGTTCCCATATCTGCAAATTGGTGTCATTTGTCAGGTCGTGGCTCATCTAACAGTAGTACATCAGTAGGATATCATGACATTGATGCAACACTGCAATTGTGTGTCATGACACAGATGTTATCGTAAATTCGCTACTGAGCAAACGTAATAAAACTGCATTGAATATTAGTCAGATAATAAGATACTGTGGTATTTGACAGAATGACCGATAAGATGTTGTGGCATACTTATTTCCTACCAAATGTGTTGCTATCTGTTAAAGCAACATATACTGAATCAAAATGTAGAAATCATTAATATTATGAGGGTTTTTTATGACCTTGTGTCTTTCAGAACCGAACACATCCCTAACACATTCATCATTTCAATCTGTTTTGCTCAGTATATCTTTTTTCTTATTTCACCATATTCTTGTTTCGCTATATTTGATATCTCAATATATTTTCACGCTTTATCAAACTTCAGCACCTGCCGATATCTTGATGATAATCAGTATATTCACACTTCTGAAAAACATAAACAATATTCCATATATACACCGACATATAGCTGGAATATTGCTGAGTGCGGCGTACTTTCAACTCTTAACTCAACTCACCCATCTATACGTAAAATACGTTTATGTATGTAAAGCGGATGTAGTTGTAATCAACTACAGTTGAACGCCGTTGTGTCGATCCTTGTATATTCCGCATATAGTAATTATTAGTAAACGCGTTTGCATCGAACATCGGATAACTTGAAGGATTTGTGTATGTTCCTTCAACTTCGACACAACTATGATTGACTGTACAGTCGACACAATTGAAAAATGAATATCGAAAGCATACGAATGGAAGTAACCGTACTTCGAGACAATCGTAATTTCGATATATCAAAGTTCGACACAACAGTGATTAACTGTATACATTAGCATGTACAGTAACCGTCGCTAGAGTTTATCCACGTAGTTTCAAAGTAGATATGTAACGATGCATGTTAGTCTCCTAAATAAAGTAACCTCTGTTATCAGTCTTCCATGAAGATCAGGGTTAGGCTTGATCGTCAGCAACCCATTCTTGCTGTAAGAGGCGCCTAAAGGTATCGTGTGGTCAGACTCGCTGACTTTGTTGACACATGTCATCGTATTCCAATAGTGTAGATCAATGCTCAAGCTGTTGATCACTGGATTGTCTGGTCCAGACTCGATTACATACTGACCGCCGCCATATAGCTGGAATATTGCTGAGTGTGGCGTTAAACAACATACAAGCACCAAGCTGTTATCAGTCGAGTATTATCACTTCCTGTTCATTGCGAGATATTCAATCGACATGACATGTATGGAAACCACTCGTTTTGTAATTCCCTTCGTGAGGCTGATACATATTTGTAAACTTCCTCAAACCATAATGTGTTTCTGCATCAACTGCCCTGTATATTTACCTTTTTTTATCGTCTTATTGTGCTCATATGTGTACATTGAACCAAAGCCATTGTTTATAATACAAATGTATGTCACTTACATTCAATTAAGCCTAAGATTGATAAATTGTGTCAATATTTAAACACTCTGTCGATCTGCATGCTGTTGACAATACTGGTAATAAAAACTTGCAGAACAGCCATTTTAAATTATTTTTAAAACATTTTTACTACCCATCAACAGTTTAGATTCACTTAAAGCACTCACTGTATGTTACGTAGATATGTATGGTTACATCGAAGATGAATTTCACCTCTAACTTGGGGGAACCAACTGCAAACCTTATGCAGATGAATTGCACGATGATCATGCATCAAATTGCTGAAACGTATGTGCAAATATCGTACATGTAAACAGCTGCATTTTGGTGTAAGGTTGTGTTAAGAATTCGCCAATTTTCAGGTTCATGATTTACTGAACTCACGACCATAATCTTTTCAACCTTACGAATATGTTTTACAATACATCAGTTCATGTGTAAACTGTACCTTTAAACATTACGGACATTTTTTGCAAAATCAAGATTATAACGGTTGACTGATGTAAGTGGCCATATTTACACTAGTGAATCTAGATTTTTGGTGGGTAGTATATATCAATTCCTGTAGAATTGTTTCGGCAAGGTTTAGTTGAAATCGTAATGCCACTTGATTATACACACACACACACAACCACACCACACTACACCATACACTCATTTTTCGAATGGCATATGTGGACAAATGTGTGTCGTAATTTTGCACCCACAAATTAATAGATTACGTATTTGTGTCACTGTCAATGGTAATCTGTGTCTTCTGTCATCTGTGAGGTGAATTTGAAATCTATTCACTGATTTGAAGACCCGTATGAATGTAATACAGACCTTCAATCTCTGTAACCGCCTCCGTGGTGTAGTGGTTAGAGCGTCCGCCCGGAGAGCGGAAGGTCGCGGGTTCGATCCCTGACCGAGTCATACCAAAAGACGTTAAAATATGGTACTTGTTGGTCCCTGCCTGGTGCTCGGCATTAATGGATACAACAAGGACTGGTCGGCTTGGTGTCAGTATAATGTGTCTGAGTGGGGTATTCATGCTTCACTGCGGCATGGTATCTCAGTGGGCTAGCACTATAAAACCAGCTTCAGTCTGGGCTAGTACGTATACAAGCAGCCGCACATACACATACACACGCATGCATGTCGTCATATGAGCGAAATATTCTCCAGCGCGACGTTAAACCCAATTTCACCTCAACTCACCTCAATCTCTGTACACAACCGTACTGATTAATTTAAGATATTTACATAACTTTCTTATGACACAACAAAACCGACTGTAATCTCATGTCAAGGGACTTACAAATCAGCTCACACCCACTTTGGTCGTTCATGTCAGTGTCTAACTGTAAACAGCAGCTTTCTTTGATCGGCCATGTCAACACATTTATAGCCATCGTGTCAATACCTAATCTAACTACCTCATATACCCGGGGTAGGTCAACAGAGTCTTTATAGAGGGTAGGCAGGTGAAACGTATCAGTTAGGTCACAGCTCTCACCCCTAACTCGGGTCAAACAACAGACGGATTTATCACTTGAAACAAGTACGCTGTTGTGTATACGTCCGTTCTGTTTACGTCTGAACATCGTGACGTCAGTGTTCATATGAAGCTCATGTCCGTCTCGATGACTTTCTTCTAACATGGCCATTATCTTCCTCCTCTGACGTCTTGGGTGCCATTGTACAAAGCAATATTAGGGCTAAGGTGATCCTTACATAAACCTACAGCTGTCGTAGCGCCAATCTTTGCTGTGTACAACGGTCGTGAAGGTTTGTGTGTAAATGTCCTCCAAGCGCCGGATAGTCCTTCTCACAGTTCTGCTGCCTTATTTTCTACAAGGTAAGATCTGCGCTTATATATACTAGAGTATATTCATAATTGCCACTGATCTATTACAATTAAATAACTATCAAACATATTTACTTACATTTGTTGATAGGAAATCTATATCGGATATGATCTTGTTTGTATTCTGAACAAAGCATTATTGAAGTATATTAACGGAAATACCGAGAAGCTTAATTACGTGTAAATTACTTAATACTGAGTTAACATTGACGACTATTTATGGATTGGATTTGGTTGAGTAATTGTTGTGATTGATATCAGCATCAATCATTGCACTCAGAAACTGTGCGGACCTGATTATCATATAAACATCAGTGATAAATGCTCGCCTTACCACAAGTAAGCCTGTTAACACAATAAGCCTTATCTGTGTTGGGTTTCACTGTACTGAATGTGAACACGCGTGTGTCGCGCGGAAACGATTGTTTTGTGTGTATAATCTAGTTTCGGTGTTTCTGTCCACAGACTGTGACGCTAGTGAGATATGTATGAAGCACAACCCGCCTTGGGGCGCCACCTACCTGCGATGCGACCATGGATGTTGCGGTACCATGAACGATAGACACTGCTGTGTAGACAGGTAGGAAATATGACACAGTTAATTCCTTTTGATGACGCCTTGTCTGCTCAATAAATTAAATACCCGGTATTGTGTTATAACGAGATTGGATATAGTGCCTATATATAGTCTGTTTAAGTAAGTAGGATAAACTGAATACCCAGTATTGTGGTAAAACGAAGTTGGATACAGTGCCCATTTACTCTGCGTAACGGAGACGGATAAACTGAATAAACAGTATTGTGTTATAACGATGATGGATACAATGCCCAAACAGCCTGTTTAAGTAAGTTGGATAAATTAAATATCAAGTATTATGTTATAACGATGTTGGATACATTGCCCATAAAGTCTGTTTAAGTAAGTCGGATTAACTGCATACCCAGTATTGTGTTATAACGAGATTGGATATGATACCTAAATAATATAGTCTGTGTAACGATGTCGAATAAATTGAATACCATTTACCCAGTATTGTGTTATAACGATGTTGGATGTGCTGCCTATAAAGTCTGCGTAACGAAGTCGGATAAATTGAATACTCCAGTATTGTGCAATAAAAAGTCGTTTTGTGGACCGTACCTGTTCAGACGAAGTCGAATAGATATTGAATGGGATTTTAATATTCAGCATTTGTGTTATGTAATGCCCCTCAATTCGCTTTGCAATGTTGCACTCTTGGGCAGCATTGGACTCCAACCGTTTATGTTTCGAGGATTTTCACCACCATCCCCGTGCTCGAGGGTTTCACAGACGACTTACATTACTTCGGGCCTTCCTCCCACATTAAGCTGACACTCCGTGATATAACTGGAATACTGTTCAGTGCAGATACATACGGCCCTCTCAGTCATTAACTTCAATATCTCCAACAGAATGATTTGAATATAAAACAATGGTAATGTTACATAGATCGAATTTTATATAGTACAGAAACGCTGTACAGAGATATGTACCTGACCACCCGACCCTGTTTGTCGCCTCTTACGACAATGGGTTGCTGAAGACCAATCCTAACCCAGGTCTTCACGGGTCGCTCACAAATTGACAACAGGTTATTCTGTGAATTGTTCGATAATATTTCTAAACAGAAGAGAGAAGAAATCGAATGAAATTCTTTATATTCCTTACCGAAAATTATAAATTTACACAAAGGAATTAACTTGATCTTTCTATTCTAATGACAATATTAACTTTCCTCTTTGGTACATGTTTCTAGGTATAGCATCATCCACCCCCACACGCCGTGATATAGATTTAATGATGTTCAAAGCGGATTACTCACAGTATGAGTTAATCACACTGTAGTCAATGTTTATAAAACACTTTTCTCTTGCAGTAAGACGCTGACAGTGGTGTTGAGTCTCCTCGGTGGCGGAGTGGGGATCGCCATTATTGTTGCTATTATCTGGTCTGTCAATAAATCCAAAGAAAGGTCCAGAGTCGAACCCGAAAATGTCCCCGTCATGACTCAAACAGATACAGGTATTTTTCTCATTGATTGAAGGATTGAGGGAGCGAGCGAGCATTGGTTTCACGAAAGCTGGATTTAGGGTAAAATCATCTGCCGCTGTAAACAGCGCAGAGCTACATGTATGCCATGATATAATATTCCCTTTCACGCAGTACACTTGAGACAGTAATGGATCTCTTCATGTCAGCAAAATTAATTACGCCTTTGGGTGAAAGCATGTACTCTCCACAATATTGTTGTCATTTGAGCTCTTATATTTGCTTCTGAAATTTTTCAACGTTTTCCTTTGCAGTATGAATGGCGACCCTATCGGTGCATGAAGGTTACCTAGCATTCGCGGTGACCTAGCGTACAAACATTAATTGAAGTGTTCGTGTACATACAGAATCCAGGGACGGAAGTGTTGCGTAATTCAATGGAATGTTCCTTCCTTAATGTTTGCCTGAATCAAGAACTCATTATGTGCAGGAAAACAGGTTGACAGGTATCGAAAAACACTTCATTTCCTAAACACTAATTTCCAGGAACTCCGACTCATGCATGAACACTAATATCCAGGCACTCACACGCACACACACATGAATGAACACTGATATTCAGGAATACACACACACATAACCAAACATAGATGTATGAACACTGATATCTGGGAGCACACACGCAACCAAACTCACACGTATGAACACACAAATGTGCTAGAATACTCATATACAGATATCCAGGAACACACATAGAGATGTAGGAAAACTGATACACAGGAACACATACATGTATAAACATTGACATTCAGGAACACACACGCATGTATGAACATTGATATCTAGGGAAACACAGACAAGCAAACACACACGTATGAACACTGATATCTAGTTCTAGAATATTGAAATACTAATATCTAGGAACAATCACATGCAAGAACACCGACATCCAGAAACACGCACATGTACAAGGATTCTGATATCCCGGAAACCACACACACATGCAAGAACACCGATATCCAGAAACACGCACATGTACAAGGATGCTGATATCCCGGAAACCACACACACATGCAAGAACACCGATATCCAGGAACACGCACATGTAAAAGGATACTGACATCCCGGAAACGACACACACATGCAAGAACACCGATATCCAGAAACACGCACATGTACAAGGATACTGATATCCCGGAAACCACACACACATGCAAGAATACCGATATCCAGAAACACGCACATGTACAAGGATACTGATATCCCGGAAACCACACACACACATGCAAGAACACCGACATCCAGAAACACGCACATGTAAAAGGATACTGACATCCCGGAAACCACACACACATGCATGAACACCGATATCCAGAAACACGCACATGTACAAGGATACTGACATCCCGGAAACCACACACACATGCAAGAACACCGATATCCAGAAACACGCACATGAACAAGGATACTGATATCCCGGAAACCACACACACATGCATGACCACCGATATCCAGGAACACGCACATGTACAAGGATACTGACATCCCGAAAACCACACACACATGCAAGAACACCGATATCCAGAAACACGCACATGTACAAGGATACTGATATCCCGGAAACCACACACACATGTACAAGGATACTGATATCCCGGAAACCACACACACATGCAAGAACACCGATATCCAGAAACACGCACATGTACAAGGATACTGATATCCCGGAAACCACACACACATGCAAGAACACCGATATCCAGGAACACGCACATGTACAAGGATACTGACATCCCGGAAACCACACACACATGCAAGAACACCGATATCCAGAAACACGCACATGTACAAGGATACTGACATCCCGGAAACCACACACACATGCATGAACACCGATATCCTGGAACACACACATGTACAAGGATGCTGATATTTAGAAACACACACACACACACATGCAAGAACACCGACATCAAGCAACACGCACACATGTGCAAGGATACTGATTTCCGGAAACTACACATGCATGAACACTGATATCCAGGTATACACACAGTGGCAAGAATACTGATATACTAATGTCCAGGAACACACACACACACACACACACACACATGCGTAAACATTAATGTCCAGGAAGCCTTGACCTTGAACATACATCATATAAAATTGGCGTCCGAAAACATTTACATTGAACTAAAACTTTGTAAAAAACATTGATATCCAAAGTACACTGACATCCGGCTACATTGACAGCCATGAACATAGACATCCAGGAATATGGATATCCATGACGCAGATCATGACGTCCAGGACCGCTGTGAGTCAGGATAGCAAATCTCGAGGAACACTGATTCGACAATGGTGACTCTTCAGGAGAATGCCTCCATGTGTACAATGACACATCCTATATATCTGCTGTAACGAAATCCCTTTGTAATCGAATAGTGCAAGCAATGTGAAAAACTGTTTTAAGCTACCTGCCTTTCATCGTGTATGTAATGCTTTAGTTGTAACACACCTATGCACAACACGACTTTGTACAGTGTATATCATATGGAATAATGTACATGTGAAACAGCATTGTAAAGCATATAAACTGTATGAATATGTATGACTATGTGCATTTGTGATAAAGTGTCCAATATAACCCAAGTTTCGTCATCCACTCGTTATAATTATATTTGGGGCGGTGGGGTAGCCTGATGGTTAAAGCGTTCGCTCGTCACGCCGAAGACCCGGGTTCCATTCCCCACATGGGTACAATGTATGAAGCTCGTTTCTGGTGTCCCCCGCCGTGATATTGCTGGAATATTGCTAAAAGCGGCGTAAAACCAAACTCACTCACTCACTCACTCACTATAATTATATTTTGATATTGTTAGTGTTGTATGTGTTAAGTTGCAAATACCAGGTGAAAATCAAACGGCACCGAGGATATTTAACTTCACCGAAGTTTCCACAGATATTACAAATAATACATACACATTCAAACTGTACAGGTAGCAGGATGTGATGTAGTGCATGTTAGTAAACGCTGCACAGTTTTATTCCAGGTATTTAAAGGCCGCTTGTTAAGCATCGACTCAGGCACACCAGTTATCACGATGGAAACAAGGGAAGCGACATACAATCACACATTTTATCAACTCAAACAACACAAATTGTGAGTTTAGTCAGTCCCTGGTTGGTGTCTTCACATTATGACAGCTATTCAATAATTACACTCATGGTTCAATAACTGCTAACTATAGTCCGTTTCCCTGCACTCCTCCCTCGTAACAAATAGTGAACTGTGTCAATATTTTAATGATAGTTTGTTAAACAACTTTTTTAATTTTAGGACACCTTCCCAAAATATGCATTAGCGTTTCAAGACCCTCCCTCCCTCCCCCTCACAAGGACGCCTCTGTTTCCCTCTGATGTACTGAATGTAACCAATGCCGTCGGTAAGCATCAATTTGCCACGCTAAAAGTGGATTATGGCGGTACTTCCCATGAAGATCGTTCCCATTTTGAAAGTTGTAAGTGATAGTGATGTTCTTGACGTCGTTCAAGATCATTCAGTTCGCAAGGGGTATTAAAACATCCGCCTTATATACCATATACTGGAAATAATACATGAAATAATCTGAATAATCCGTCTCATGTTAAAGCCCCGTACCATAAGCGCTGTCTTTTTACAAAACAAAGAAGCTAAGCTAACATAAGCTAAGATTTTTACAAAACGAAGAAGTTGTCTTTTATTTGAGTGCATCTATAAGTAACAATGAGAGTTATCTATAAATCGGGATACTAGTGTTGCGAATTTGTAATATGCAGCGTTTGCGAACCTGATTTCATATCTGGGTTTAATAATATAATAAACTTCTGCTTGTTGTGACATAACATCAGATTTTCATCTTCACTATCCTTTGAAATTGTTCTTTTGTTGTTGTTTTTATTCACGTTTTCCATGTGTTAAACTGAAGACCTCTAGCGTTCACTCGGTAGCCTATGTGATCCCAGGGGTGTTCAGTTTGTATCAGATCAGGGTTTGTCAATAGTTTTTGGAATCGATTTGTAATCAAGTCGTGTATAATTTATAGTTATGTCTTTACTTTCTTTACCTCTGGTGACTATGCCTTCGACATCTCACACATAAAATATACGATCGAAATGTAAATAATTCTCCTTATTACTGACATACTTCATCTAGGTTTGTGATAACAATCCTAACACACGTCCAGTAACACTTACACAAGTATCATTGAGTTTTCGAAATAAAAATAATAATTTAGCCGATGTTTATCCGAATGAGTTAGATAAAGGGAAGTAACCAGTTTCGTTTTCATAGTGGGCCTCTAGTTTTGCTGACACGGTCAAACTGTGGAGATATATATTCATCATTACCTGTATGAATTTCCATCATATGAATTCGTTGTCAGTCGATCACATATGGCGTGATGTACACAGACGGCTAGGGATACATATATTCTTTAACACCGGGTACATTCCCACCGAATACTGTATACCTAAAAATATTCTACGGTACCTGAAGTGTGATGCAAGTACCCACCCGATTAAACTAAAATATAGCTTGGGGGTCAATCATAGTTTTTAGCAACCATGATCGAGTGATCAGACGCGCTGACTTGGATGTCACAGGTATCACAAATGGGTACATCGATACTATGGTCCAGACTAGATTATATTTACATACCGCCGCCATGTAGCGGTGTAATTGTGTAATTAAACAACAACAATACAACCTCCGCTAGATACAAACCTCCAACTCTCCACATGTGGTCTGCGTGTGAAGCCCACAACTGGTCTCTCCCGACCGTAATACCGCTGACATATTGCTAAAAGTTGTATGAAACCATATATACCTCTACATCTACTGACCCTGTCCTTCACGGGAAAGTTCAGCCTAACATGATGTCATTGGGTGTGGGCAACTCATTCTTACACTTCAGCATGAATAAGGGAGGTCATAGTTTTTCCACTACTCGGAAGACTCCGAGCAGGAAAATACAGCCCAAAACTCTACCAAGTTTACTTCACAGGGTTTGGCCTCGGCAAAATGTCCAATGTTACGATACTAGTAGTGGGTCACAGCTTGAGCTGAAACATTAAAAGATTAACTCATTATACTTGGAAGTAGTTGGTCACAGTTGGATCTGAAACATTAAAAGACAAAATCATTATACTTCAACGCAGTGGATCAAAGCTGCAGCTGACATATGACAAGACCAACTTATACTTAGTGGTAGCAAAACACAGCTGCAGCTGAGACATGACAAGACCAACTCATTATGCTTGGAAGTAGTGGCTCAAAGCAGGAGCTGGTACATTACAAGACCAATTCATTATACTTGGGAGTTGTGGGTCACAGCTGGAGCTGAAACATTAAAAGACCAACTCATTATACTTGGAAGTGGTGGGTCATAGCCGAAGTTGAAACATTAAAAGATCAACTCATTATACTTGGGAGTTTTAGGACCAACTCATAATCTGATTAGAAGGGCTAACGCTGAGCACAAAAGAAACCAACTGACAGTCTGTCTATACTGGGAAGTGGCTCCTCACAGAGTCATTATTAGAAGAGGCGGGGCTAAGCTTGAGAAAAACATATTCAGTATACTGAGTGGTGCTGCTCAGCTGAAGCAAAGACATGACAAGATCAATTCATAATACTGGGAGACAGTTAAATATTCACTCATTTTAACAGAAGGTAGCTAATTATATAACTCGTTAATATAGCAATTGGAGCCGTTCAATGGGAACTGAAATATTGATACCAAAGTTATTAGCATCTGGCGCGGAGCAACCAGAGCTAAATTATTTTGAGACAAACTTGTTAGGAAATGCCGGGATGAACGTGAGGTTAAACATACACAAAACTTACCTATTTTATCAAGGGAAGGATCTAAATCATGAGAGACAAACCTCAATGTACCTGAAAGGTGGCGCGGCTGAATTGGAGCTAAACATTAAACAGCCAACACATGATATGGGAGCGGACATATTATTCTAGGAAACGGCGCACGTCAACTGGAGATAAAAACACAAAATTATAAGGCCATTTGGAGTGTAAGTGGTACCGCTAAATTTGACCTTAAACCTAAACATGACCTAAAAATACGGCCTCAATATACCACAATACTAGTTAGGCTAGTCGTTAAAGCGTTTGATCGTCATGCCGAAGACAAGGGTTCGATTCCCCACATGGGTACAATGTGTGTGATGCCCATTTCTGGTGTCCCCCGCCGTGATATTGTTGGCATATTGCTGAAAGCGGAGTAAAACCATATTCACTTCTCACTCAATTACTCAAAGACGACGTCCGGAACAACCTATTTACTCAAAGGACAACAAACAAGCGGTACTTAAAGTACTTGAAGTTAAACAGCAGCAATCGTTCTTTCACAAACGCAAATTTCGCAATATTTTAAATCCCATTAAAGTAGTCAGCAACACAGGCTCTTGTGTCTTTGAAAGGATTAAAGTTGTTAAGAAAAATATAAAAATATTTGAGATGACTCCCGACTCGAAATGCTTCACAGTACAATACATTATGTCATAATGTATATGTACTGTGTAACATTTCGAGTGGGGGTCATCTAAAAAAATGTTTGGGTTTTTTTATCTTTAAACTTTGCAAAGACACGAGGACCTGTGGTCAGCAAACCTAAACAACCATCAAAACAAACTTTAGTAGCCAGCGACAAAAATGCAACTTGTAAGAGTAACCGTCACCTGTGGACAAAACTAATGCAATCGAAAAGACACAACAGACTCACAACACACAAGCCATGATAAATGACATAAATGTTTACAGATTTCCACCAAACACCCCAAAACAAATACAATACATTTTAGAAATACAAATAACCATGCCTCTCGGTTTCTCTACAAATACAATCAACCGGCGAAATATCAAAGACAATAAGCCGAGAAAATCGTTTAGGACAGCGAAATATACTGAGTCAAAAATGAAACTTCACAAAATGTAATTTGAAAAATAATGAATAATTTTTCTCTGATGATACATCTATGTATCCGAAATGGGATCCCTATCTTTCGACTCTAGAAAAACGTTAGCAAAACCCACTCAAACCCATCCATTCGTTGTGCAAATGACGTTAGTGCCAAATCAGGTTTTGCACGTGCAGTCGATCACTTGATCTTCGCATCGAAGTTTTCTTCATATGCACGTGTTTGCATTGGCCTCAAGAATTGAAAAAACTCTTTTAAACCACAGTTCTAACGGTACTTGAAATACCACGATTGTCAAATGTGCAACGTGAACGTGCCGTTTGCATGTTGCAAGTGGGAAGATCAGTTATTGACGTCGCAAGAGCAATGGGATGCAGCCGTCGTACTGTGTATGACTTGCGAGGTCGTCAACAACAAACTGGCACCACTTCTGATCGCCCAAGGTCGGGTCGTCCACGTGTGACGTCACGAGCAGAAGACCGTCAAATCATTCCACGTCACCTACGTGACAGATTTCTGCCGGCTACGCGAACCAGGGCTGAGATGTTTAGAGGTCGACTGTCCTCACAGACCATTCGAAATCGGTTGCGGGCTGCCAATCTCCATTCTCGACGTCCATATCGTGGGCCAATATTGACGCCGTTTCATCAACGTCAACGTCTGCTGTGGGCCCAACGTCACCT